CTTGACTAAATTGAATTTTTGTTACATTGCGAAAACAAGCCATTTCAGACATACGTCAGACACTTTAGTTCGGTAAAAGTAGTCGCAGCACATTGGTTGCCCAGGAAAGGGCCAGGATTCTGTTTCAGAGTTGAGTTTAGAGCCGAAAATACTTAGAGTTCTCGCTTCGTGCATAAGTCAGGCGGCAACAGGGCTTGTGAAGGGCAATTAAAGATAATGATTACCAAAATAACCTGTATACCATGAGTATAATTAGAAGTGACCTGAAACTTGGCTTAGACAGAAAAACAAATTGACTCATCCAAAGGCAAGAGTTTCTCAGGATATTCACAATATATAAGTAAATGGAAAGCCAATGAACCTATGGAAATAGACAAAGCGACTAGAATACTGAATAGAAGCAAAGGATTTAGTAAAACAAGTGGAGCCTACTTGAGGCTGTTGTATAGGATAAGAGAGGTAGTAAGAGAACAGGAAGTGCCCCCAAACAAGAGGAGGACTCTTGATTGGCCTCGAGTGTGGAAAGAACTTTCACACCTAACACGACACACGAACATTTAATGAACACAATATATGCAAACAAGTACGACTGCAGACTTCAATATTGCAATATCAAAGATGTAAGCAATTTTTGTGAGAATGCAGCTTTTTGGCCACAACCTCACCCACTTCAGTTATCTGCAGGAATGCAGGGAAGGCGTGAAATAGCCAACAAAATCCTGAACTGTCTCAATAAGTGCACAAAGTAAGGATTGCATCTGCAAACTTTCTTGCCTTAAAACTTGGTGAAATTCTGCAAAGTATGCTTGTCACATGACAGCCAAGCAAGGAGTTATTCGGGTCGCAGGATGGTGCGCTAAGCTCTTCTTTGCCTAAATCCATACTCACAATTCCTTCAGCCTCCTGCAAGGCCAATTTTGAATTCCTTGCTCCCGCCTTCTCAAACGAAATTCAAAGTACAATATGAACCGACAGAATCTCTGTCTTGAGGAGTGTTTTTTTTCTCCTTCGCTCATTTCAAGGCTACTTGGGGACATTCCTCTGCGAAAGATATTCGGTAACATCTGTCTACATTCTTGCAATGGGTATTTCGTCCTCATCTATCACTGCAACTAAGTCTTCCCCAAATGCCATTAAGGCCGTTTTTTCCCTCCAAAGCCAAGATGGCTCAGGTCGCTAGAAGACAGGATTTGGCCTGACGCTTTCGCTGGCGTTGCACGACACGGGTTTAGGACAAATTTTTATTAAGACACTCAGCTGCTGGCGCAGCCACCTTGTTCTACTTTTTGCTAATCTGGAAAGACATTGTTGGCTGTGGACGATGTACTTTTGCAGTTTTTATCAGTTATTTTCCGGGACCCCCTCAATAGGGTGCTTCCAGACCCAAATCGATACAATCCATCCGACCCGCTCCAACCCTTAATAAAGCCTAATCTCCGAGCCCTCAGACCGTGGTTATACTTTTTCGGGTAAATAAAAAAAGCATAGGCCTCCTTTGTCCCTCTTCCTTTCCTCTACAAAGGCATCACCATCTGGAGCAGTTATGAAGCGAGTTTGAGCAGCGATTATCACGAGACCTGAAAGCCCCCACAATAAAGGCGTGACCTTGTGGCTGAAGCAAGGCAATGGCGTTTGGCCTGATCCTCCAATTCAGGAAAAGTATTTTTGGCAATCTTTAGTTGGCTCACTGCATCCTGAGAAGGTAAGACTATACGAAGACTGTTCTAGGGCTGTGCACGACTTCAGACCTGGCAGTAGTTCCTGCTGGCGCTGAATGTTTTGAGCAGCAAGCAAAAAATTCCCAAGGCTGCAGAATTAGTCTTATCGAATGAAAAGTAGGATCAGGGATTACTTGAAGCCCGTAACAGTTAATTTTGAAGGACTGGAAGGCTTAAGGCCACCATACTACGCTGGACGACCCAACCACACGCGATCCTCGTAAGACTTGAATTAAAAGTTTTCTCGGATCGCCTATCTCCTTAACCCAAGGATGAGCTTCTCGGTTTCGAGGCGGTCTACAACGACTCTCTCCCCTGATATCTGTCCTCTTTCCTCTCACTTTCTTCCAGACTGCGTACAGAGACAATCGCAAAGACGCATGCATGCCATTAACATATAAGTTTGCTGCGCCATTGTCACATACTTGACAAGTATAATCGGGAGATAATGGAAAGGACTGAAGGTTGACTGATGAGGCATGAAAACACGTGAGGCGATGAGTGAGGATGCCAATTTGGGAGAGCATCTTTGCGGAGTGAAGAGACAAAGCTTGTTAATCGCAATTCAACAGCTCCACAGCCACTGGTCGAAATAAATGTTACATGCGGAATCGGAACGTTAAATGGTTGCTTTATAAAAACTGGCCGATCTACTGCGCGAGGAGCCGTTTGGTGCTAGCGATCTCTGGCATGTGAGAAAAGCAGCCTGAGCGTTTGTTGGTATGCCAGTATCACATTTCTTACACGGCGCTCGGCCTCAGCGACTGAGGAAATTGGCTTGCACAGGTGGCTATTCACTTATGTCCTGCTTTCTCACTCCGCTTCGATCTTCCATCGCCCCCAAGCGCGCGCGCGCGCACACACACACATACACATGCTGGCATTCAAATATGTATCAACTCGACCCAGACGTCGCCCTTTCTTGTGCTCTTCTTTTCGTCTGACCTACCTTCCGGCAATGGCCTTGAGGCCTTCAATTAATCCAAATTAAAAAGGATACTCAATTCGCTTTTCCATCAGCCTTTCAACCCAACTAATGGCCCCTGAGAATCCCATTGTTCGGCCTACCAGATAAGCCAGGATGGTGCGTGTATGTGTGCATGCCCGTGCATTATTGTGTCTAAATGGTGGTTGGAGGGGGCGCTGGTCAACTAAGGCTAATCGTCTCAGACCATTTGTCTATCCACCCCTTCAATCTGGGCGCCCGTGAAACCCGGCCGCTGGCCCTGGAGGGTGATGCCTCCTTTTCTGTGGCCAGAGCGTTTCGTGCGAATGACGAGCCAAACTGGACAGGCCACGCTTTTTCTGCACAGTACAACGATGGTCTCGCAGACTTCTTTAGAGGGGATAGACTTTAGTTAGGTATGTTGCCTCATTAAGGGATATTCTCTGCTACTGGCCTATGGGTCTTGTTGTAGAGCCGACCGTTGCTCGCCAAGTCGTCAGGTCGAGTTGAAGCGAAAGCCAGAATTTGTGATTAGCCTCGTTTCTGCGTGTGGTCCAAAAGTATATTTTCATCCGGGCTGAACTTCAATTATTGGGTCGTATTGGTCTTGTCAGCACCTCGAGACTTATCCGCATAAGACTCAGCTTGTTTTACTAACAGGATCAACCAACCAGTGCCAGTGACGGCACCCGGTGGGATTCACATGCCAGTCTAATACTTGGCGTTTGTCACACTATAATCAGGCACTGGATCACAATAAGGGACAAATAGTTGAGTCATAATTTCCGGGACTGCAAGACAAAAAGTTCTGGGATAACTTTGACGATTTAGCAGTCCTACTTAACTTTTGAGAGGTCTGGCGCTCGAAATAGAGCTAAACGTCTAGTCTAGGTAGTAGTTACAAGCTGAGTAGAGTGCACACGAGTTGACTACACAAGCCGTTTGATCGAGGACCATAAGACTTATCAAAACTAGAGCAATTTAACTAAAAAAAGTATAGAAGTGGGTTGACCTCGTCGCAACTTGGTCTTGTTGTCAGGGCGACTTAGAAGAACGCACCTAGTCCGAAGTCGTCTGCCATAGTAGTTTTCATGATTCCCAGCATCATAAAGTGGACTTGGTACATTTTCTAACGTTTCGCCGGCATCGTCAGTGAGTTTTCTAATTAGCCGCACCAAGCTACGAACTAGTCAAAGAGACAAGTGAAGTCAATCCTTCGACAAACGTTCTGCAGAAAACGGTTACACTATCACTCCTCTTTCTATCCTGGCTTATCTACCCTCTGCGACCACACAAAAGGCCACACCATCTTGGTCTTCATACCTTCGACTAAACTATGGAAATAAGATTGCCTAACAATGCATTGATTACAGCCGGACAAAGAAGACAATCGTAAGTCAATCCTGCAATTCGGCCTTTTTAAATTGTTGTAAAGATTATGGTATCCTACCCCTATTCTTCAATCTAATGAGGAAGAGTCATTCGGACACAGTTAATGAAATACTTTATCATGCATCTATCCAGAAATTAGAGGTAAGTTACGAGACTGTGAGGCGTAAACTATTTAAGTTCCTGGATATCAAATCTAGATTAAGGAAGGATCTAGGTAGGGTTCTCACTTTAGATGATTTCCAAAACCTCCAGAGCATGACGCACCAGAAGTCACAAAGGGTTCA